TGCTGTCCATCAGACGTACCGAGCCCACTGATTGATTTGGCCTGCCTCTGGAGGCGGGCATCCCTCCCGCCCTCGGGGCGGGGTCGGCGCCGAAAGAGGCGGGATCTTTGGGATACGAGCGCTTCTCATTGGACGCTCAGGCCGAGCTTCTTTCTTTCAGAATGAAAGGGAGGCGGGGTCGTCAGGAAGGCGTACCAGCCATCCGCCATGCCCAGTTGTAATTGCTTTGAGGTGATGTCAATTATGGCGAATGGGCTTGGGATTGGGGCTTCACGGAACGAGGCGTGACCAAAAGTGCCAGGTGTACAGAAAGAGTCTGCCTTGATTCCCAGGTTGGGTCAGCTTGTGAGACTAAAAACCTTGCGGATCGTACTAGGACGTTGCTCGAAAGCTGGGGAATGCCGGTGAGAGGTCCATCTGCTCGTCTTATTCCCTCCGATAGTCGTGTTCCTTCTGGAAGTTTTTCTTCCAGAAACATTGCAGAGGGAGAGGTCTTAAATTTCAAACAAATGTGCTCTCATTTAAGAGTTTCGTGGGGCCTCTAGGGAGCTTAATTACTGAAATCGCCAGAAGCTCTCCCCTCAAAGGTCTCGTATAACATCACAATTGAGAGTGGAGTCTAGAGTTCCTGGACCTGAATTGGCATCCCCGGTCAACTCCACCAGTTATTTGTTGTACTAGTTGCATAACCTTTTAAGCATTTTTTTTTCCTTTTGCTGTTCTTAGCTTCAATTTCCTCATCTGCAAAATGCGAGTGATAACAACTAGCTCAAATAGTTGTGAAGATATAAACTGAGAACATAAACTTGCAAAAACACTTAGTTCAATGCCTAGCCCCAAATAAGTTCTGGATGAGTATCCGCTGGTCTAATTACAGATTTGTTTTTTTTTTTGAGATAGAGTGTCACTCTGTCAACCTGGATAGAGAGAGTGCTGGAGCGTCACCCTAGCCCACAGCGACCTCAAACTCCTGGGTTTGGACAATCCTCCTGCCTCAGCCTCCCGAGTAGCTGGGATTACAGGAACTCACCACAACACCCTGCTAGTTTTTCTATTTTTAGTAGCGACAGGGTTTTACTCTTGCTGGGGCTGGTCTCCAACTCCTGAGCTCAAGCAATGGATTGTGCTAGATTTACAGGAGTGAGCCACCATACCCCGCCTTCTTACAGATTCTTGACTGTAAGATCTACTGAGTCAGAAGGAACCTAGGTGATTGGCCAGACTTGACAACCATGGTCTTAAAGATTATCCTCTTCAAACCTACCTTTCCACCATGTATAGCTGGAAAGACAATAAAGACCAACTGGAAAGAGACCAATAGGAGTCTCACAAGGACGAACTAGAACTGTTACTATATTGTTCTGCTTCTACCCAGACACAGGTATGCTCAATAGAGAAAATGGTTACTGAATGTGATTCCACTAAATTCTGCATAATCATGAAAATGACAAGCACTGGGGATTTCTGGAGAGGAATCTGAAGATGGTAAAGATGAAGGCTTGCATCAGGAAACTTATATATGTTAGTTAGGGAGCCAGAGTGCTCAAATTACTGGGCAAAGTGGAGCCTAAATACTTTATTACTAAATACATCCCTACTTTTTGCCATAGAACCATGGTATTCAAGGATTTAACTCAGACCTAAATGCCCTAAGGACCTGGAATGCATATATGTAGCATTTGTCATTTGTTACAAATTGTGGTATCAATTTGTATCATTCTTGAGTCAACATATTATCCAGTACTTTGTAATCCTTGAAACATGATTAGAGTCTTCTTTCTTTGTAAAAAAAGGCCTCCCACTAAAAGGCAAGCACTGTTACTAAAATGGAAATGAAAAAAAATTGGAGAGGCCTAAGAAAGCAGTGTTTTTGAGACAGAAATAGGGAATTTTGAACCAATAAAGAGGGGACTGGAATTCAGAACCAGAGTTCAGTCCTTTCATGTAAAAGAAATTAAGAGAAGGTGATTCACAAAACAGTTTCAGCAAGTGCTCCAGACAACATTTACAAATAACCTTAAACCTTTATAAATAGCTTTATCCTGTGTTTTTATAATTATTAAATATTTTAAAAGCTCTCTTACATTTTTAGGAACATGTTATGGCATTTTATGGGAGAAATTATGTGCTGTTAGTGCTAACCAATTGGAGCATTTGATGAGGTCTCTGGACATAGCCTTCACATTTGTCAAGGGGCTAAGGCGCTTGAAGTCAGGCTATCTGCATACTCAATAATAATACATTTGTATGGCATAATATTTAAAGTGCTTCCACATACATTATATCAATTATCCTCTGTATGCTGCTGGGAAGGTGACAAGGCAGAGATGATTATAATAGAAGAATCTGGGTCTCATGCAGCTAACATCACTTGTCAAGGGAAGTATGGCTAGTAAATTGCAAACCCTGAACAGGAAGCCTGCTACAATTCATTCTCCATGTATAGTATGGGATGGTGGAGAGCATGAGACCTTTGAAGTTGGCTTCTACCATCTACTAGCTGTGTGACCTTGAGTGAGTCATTTAACATCTCTGAGACTTAGTTTTCTTATCTGTAAAATCAGGATTAAAAAAGGACAATGACAAGTATTAAATAAGTTCACATATATAAGACCCTAGCACAAGGCATAAGGCCTAACATATAACCGGCACTCACTCAATTATAACATTACTATTATCACTGTAGAGCTTTGGGAACCAAGTATTGCAAATGAAGCATGATAATGGCATGATGATCAAGAATCTATAAGGACAGTACATGTATCATATTAAAAATAAAAACTTGGGAAGTGGTCTGATTAAGTAAATTTAGGTACATCCGTATAAATGTAAAAACTTACAATTTCTTTTTCTTTTTTTTTTTTTTTTTT